TAAATACTAAATGTGAGGCAAATAATGATTAAAAATATGTATTTTGACCTCACATCAACTTGCTCTTATTTTTGTTGAGTACATGACATCTTCAAGCGGCTACGGACAGACCTCGCTTAGGAGATCAGTGATCGTTTGAATTCAAGGGTGAGCCAATTCTTCCGGACTGCCATGAGATTCTCTTTCGTCTATGTCCACCATTTTCGAACTTAGACATTTGTTTTAGTTAGTTCATTAGTATGTGGTTGTATCCCTTCTTGTTTAGATTTGGTTCATTGTTAGATGTTTTGGTACATTGACTTTCAGGTTCTAGGTTAATTCTTCCGCATTGTTAGTTGTTAGATCTATTGTTGAAGTTTATGGGAACTTCAGTTTTTAGCTATTGTTTCTGCTTTTATATACTTAAATGCCTTAGTTTTTGGTTTAGTTGCTTGGTTGAGTTGTAGTAGTGGCTCTCCCACCGGAGAGTTAGTGTGGGTGTCAATCATGGCGGTCTGAGTAGTGACATATATTATGTGAAAATACATTTAAAAACATACTATAAATCATCATAACTAACAATATAAAATATTCAAAATGCATATAAAAAAAATTGATTAGCTTTAAATTTTATTTTATATCATATAAATTAAAATGTATATGTTGAATCTGTGCTAACTCAAATATGGTATTTAATTTAATTTTGTTTTATAAGAATATGACCTTAAAATGGAAGTGGACCACATAGTAGTTGAGACCCCAATATAGTTGTTAATGGATAAAAACAAAAGGGGTGCACCCTTCTCTAGCAAACATGTGTAGTGCTATCGACCACTAGCTTTAAATAGGTTTTTTTTTTGGTGGGGGTTATTTGGTGTCAAGAGTTTATATTAGAGTCTCGATTAAATTTAAATTATACATTGTAGGACCTATTTAGAGGTGATACTCTCGATAATACCGCAATACCTATATTAAAGTCTGATTATACACAATAAAATTAATAAATACTTATTATTTTATGTCTATTTTATCTTTATTATTAAATACTATTTATTTTTTAATATTTAAATGAACTATAGTTAATAGGGGTAATTTGATAGATAAAATTACGCTTGTGATCTACTGATTCTTAATTCTTATGTCTAGTTAATAATTAGCAAATATTGTTGTTGGAGGAGTATTTTTTATTTTTATTTACAATAAGTGTCGATAGTGTGAGTAATATTAATATACTTTTTCCGTTATGTACAAACTATGAATCGTCTTTAAATAAGATATGACATAATCTCTCTCTATATATATATAAAGGAGGACCATAGACAAGGTGATGCATGTGGCACCTCTCTATGGCTTTCATTTGCATTTAGCTTCTTTTGTTTTCTTTTTTTGGCTTTTTAAAAATAAATTACTTAAATTTATTACAAATAAATATTTTATTGATGGAGGAACATTTATAACAAAAACTCTTCATATTCTTTTTTTATTTATTTGTCTCACTTATAATAAAAGGAGAAGCATAATTTATCTTTTTTGACTTTTTTTAATTCAAATTAATTATTGTATTGTAAAAATATATTACTTAATTTATACAAATAAATATTTTATTAATGTAGGAACATTTACAACATAAAGCTCTCCACATTCTTTTTTCTATTTTTTTATCTCACTTCAAATCATGAAATGATAATAAAAA